ACACACACACACACACACACACACACATATACATATATTAAGTGACAGGCAGGAAATTAAACATATAATTTCTCTTCAAATATTTTCTGACAAACTTAGAAATTATTTCAGTAGGATTATACTATTATATCTTACCATTCTGTTAGGATGTTAGATGCTTTAACTTTATTCAGCTCTTCTTGAATGGCTTGTTTGGCTCGTATTTCTGCATCCAGAGCTGACTGTAACTCCAATCTAGCTGACATATCCAGTTTTGCAAAACGACGCATCTTCCAGGGCATATCCTATGAAATTGTTTTTAGCTCCATGTGATTTTATTTTTAATATTAAAATGTATTAATCCAAGTGAATTTGAGAGCTACCCAAAAACACTGCCTCTAATAACAGAATACAATAGAAATATTTCTTATAAAAACATATTATTTTCCATTAAATTCATAAGAATTGTAAAGACATACATAAGAGTTTATTTTTTATAGTTAATACTAATATCAGTTACTCATACAAATTACAGTGAAACAGCTATGTTTAAATTTTTCCTAACTTGAAAAGATGTAGGCTAATGGATTCTCATGACAAAGTTTACAACAGGTTGAAGCTCAGAAACAGAAAAACTGATGTAAGAATTTTTTTGAACCTTCTTTTTCCTAATATGATATGATGTTATGCAAAATTTCAGAGCTTACTGTTGCCCGTGTACCCAAGCTGGAATTTCTTAATGCTTCTAATTCTTCAGTCATCTTAGAAGCTAAGGCTTGAAGATACCCTCGTGCATCCTTTTCATCACTGACCCTAAAATACATATAAAAAGACAGACATAAAGTACAGAAGTTAAACACAAAAACTCAAATGAGATTTTAAAGCTTCATATAGACATAAGTAACAACTGTTAGAAATTTGAAGATTTTAAAAAATATCTTCTTTCAAAAAGTCTAGTATAGTCACCCAAATCACAATAAAACTGAAAAAAAAAAAATTCTATTATAGTACTTCTACCTGTCAGCAGGTGGCAAAAAAGGTTCACTGACCTATTACCATAGGGTTGAGTAGATTCCAACTTACAGTAACCATGAAGGACAGAGGAGAACTGCCCTCAAAGGATTTCCAAGGTTGCAATCTTCGTAGAAGTAGAATGCCCTTTCTCCTGTGGAGTGCCTGGTGATTCAAACCACCAACCTTTTAGTTAGCAGCCAAGTGCGTTAGCCATTGCACCACTAGGGCTCTTTACTGAACTGTGAGTTATCTACAAACTAAAGCTGGATGTTTAGAAAAGAATGAGATACTCCGATATTATCACATATGGTAAAACTTAACCCTTAAACCACAAGATTAACATTCTTTTAACATTAAATACACATAGATACACAAGAATTTTTAAAGAAGTGTATGATTTTCTGGTAACTGGATTCTGCCATTTTATTTTATGAAAGCAAACCCTTCATAAAACTCAAGTACATTAAATTTGTTGTTGTTGTTAAGTGCCGTGGAGTCGTTTCCGACTCATAGCCACCCCATGCACAGCAGAACGAAACACTGCCCGATCCCATGCCAGCCCCACAATCCCTGCTATACTTGAGCCCATCATTGCAGCAACCGTGTCAATCCATCTCGTTGAAGGCCTCCCCCTCTTTCGTCGACCCTCCACCCTACCAAGCATGACATCCTTCTCCAGGGAATGGTCCCTTCTGACA